CCTTTCTGTCTCAGGCTCTTTCCTCTCTCAGCCCAAATGTCCAGCAGGCTGAGACCTACAACCACCCCCTTTCACATAATTGCATGTTTGCACTTCCTGCTCCACCCTGGACAAGGTAAGAAACAGGGCCAGGATTAGGGTGAGGGGAGAAAGAGGTATGTAGGTCAGGAAGCATAAGGAACCACTCTTGTGTTCTAGGCAACTCATCTGCCTCACTCTGGACCTAGACCCAGGTGCATACTTTAGCACAGGAAGGGTTACCCAGGGGGTGTAAAAGGGCAGGCTGGAGAAAGGGCAATTTGGAGACCTGGTAGCTGTCCTCAGATATGTGAAAGGCTTCACAGGGGAGATAGAATAGATTTACTCCATGCTACTCCCGAAAACCAAATTGGGGCCAATAAGTAGGCCGATTTCAGCCTTGAAAGAATACAATTTTTATGTAGCAAGGGCCGGCATTTATAGAACAGTGTGCTAAGAGCTTCGCACAATAATCACTCATCCTCACAACTCTGAGGGACTCAAGTGTATCCCTGCCATTGAACAGAGGAGGAAACTGAGAATTAGACAGGCCAAGTGATTGGTGCAAGGTCACAGAGCTGCTTACGTTACAGTCAGGGTTAGAAATCAAACCCAGTACTGACTGGTCTGGACCCCAGGCTCTTAACTACAACACCAAGTTACTTTGGACCTAATTATAAAAATTGTAGTAGGAAATTATGTGAGCAAAATCTCTATGGTCATCTATCAGGATATTATAAAAAAGAGACCTCAGAAAGGAATTAGAACAGTGACTTTTAAAGCATGTTGCTGAACCAAAGTGGCAGGAGAGATTGGCAGTGAGCTAAGATAAAGACACTCTTCAGCTCCTGAAGCCACCAGCCTAGAGCACTAAGAGCTCAGGTCTACTCAGCCCATCCCAGCAAAGCGTACAAATATCCATGTCCCATGAGTGCACTGATAAGAAAGGGGCAGCAAGCATTTAGAGAATGAGAGACCTGGCTTTTCTACTTTATTAGGATTACTACAGATTGGAGTCTGTGATCAGAGCTCAGGAACAAGGCCAAATCTGCTAGAAGCACTTTTCAGAAACCTAGAGACTGAGCCCCATTTCAAGCAGTGCTAGCAGACTATAAGGAAGGCCCCAGACAAGCAGGTGATTTTAATGATCAGCCAGGACCAGGAACTGTTCTAGGTGACAGTGCTCAGAAAAAGAAAAACTATGTAAGTGGTGTTATTATACATTGATATAAATGCATTATAATTTGCTTTTACACAAATCAGACTACTAGCTATAAAGTTATAAAGTTATATCATAGTAACCTGAATAAATTTTTTAAATTTCTGGCCTCCTACATTTCTTAACTAAATTATAAATTTTGCTCCAACTCTACTATTTTTAGATCAAAAGGGCCTTGGATATGCTATCATGGCTATTGCAAAGCCAGTGTGATTGTGCACACTTAGATTCTTTTTCATAGATGATGATGGTAACCACTACAGAAGTCTGAAGCTGGGGAAAGTGGAGCACATCTGTAATCCCAGCACTGTAGGGGGCTGAGGCAGGAGGATTGCAAGTTCAAGTCCAGCCTAGGTTACCTTAGCAACTTAGTGAGACCATGTATCGAACTAAAAAATAAAAAAGAAGGCACTGCATGTAGCTAAGTGTGAAGGACCTATGTTCTATCCCCACAGCAAAAAAAAAAAAAAAAAAAAAAAGGAAGATGTGAAGAATTAGCAACTTCTACACTAACTTGCTACAAATTATAATGCAATCAAGTTTCAGACTAAATTTTGCATATGCATTATTAACCAAATAGACACAAGCAAGTGGGGAAAACTGTCAACCTGTTTCATGGGATCAGTAATTTCCAAGTCTACGTCTTTCCAGGTATTCCAATGCACCTTGCTTGAAAGGCTAAGGGAGACAGACAGTGACATTCTGGGGTATGTGCTGTGTTCTGTATGAGGCGCGCTCAATCAGAAATCCATTAAATTGATAACCAGACACAGCACTAGTTTTAGATCAAGCCTCAGGTACCATCCTAATGCAAGGTTAGTATTCTTCTAATATATTCTATAATGTATTCTATACATCTAATGTATTCTTCTCACCTGTTCATACATGGGGAAGGGGATCTCTGAACTATTTCAGTCATTCAAATATTTAGAGTACTTATAATTTCACCAAAGAGATTGCTTTTGTAACATTTACTATGCTAATTTAAAAGCATATGTGTTATGTCACTGTAATGTAAATCATAGCCATTCTAGCAATGGCCTTGTGTAGCAAGGGGATGGCTTAGTACTGAATATAGTGGGCATTATTTTACTTTGTGTGTGAAAATATTCTTGGTGACTAAGTACAGTAACTGTGCATATGTTTATCTGGTTTATCTGGAAGAGATTGATATTGACAGTGCTTCGAATGCACAAAGCTGTGACTGCATTCTTTCCATAGTTTATATTACAGACAACCTCGAGCTATTCAGCTTCTGCTTACTTACTCCCAAGGCCACGATAGCAGGAGGTTTGGGCTGACATTAGTGAAGCCCCAAGGATAAATGACAAAGAATGAGTGAATTTTATATCACCAATCGGTTATTTGTTCTTGATACTTGCACCCGTAACAACCCTGACTTAAGGAAGTTTAACTGATTACTTAGCATAGTCTTTAAATTTTTTGTCTTTATAAATTCACCTTGTGGTAGACTTTAGGACACTGCCAATAAAAGAATATTTCTGAAAAAACTTAATAAGACTCAAAGTATTCTTTTTTCTGAGACAGTCTCACTGTATAGTTTAGGTTGGACTTGAACTCACTACGTAGCCCAGCCTGGCCTCAAACTCACAGCGATCCTACTCCCACGGCTTCCTGAGTACTGTGATTACAGGCATACACCACCATGCCCAGCCTTAAAACCCATAGTATTTATATATTATTCTATGAAAGCAAATCTACATTTTTACCAGTTCCCAGAAGAAGATTATTCAAGGTTCCAGGTTTTTTAAGCCTATAGACAGAGCTGTGAAATATGATCAAAAAGTACGATGAATGTTTAAATCTTTTTAAAATGTTACAGTAAAAGGCACATTGCCATAACCTCCCTCCCCTCGGGAGATTCTCCCTAGCTTCTAACACACTTATTCCATAGTTCTGGTTACTTTCTGGAGCAGTTCTGTCTTTTTTTGTGTGAATATCTTTAGTTGTGCTGTCATGGCTGCCTGAATGTCCTGAATCAAATCTAAATGTTTAGCTTTCATGATCACTGTGACTTTGGGGAAGAGCCAGAAGTCCACACAGTGTCAGATACAGTGGATGAGAACACACTGCAATGTTTTCATAAGCCTATCTTTCCGTTAAATGACACTCAACATCTGTCTCCAGCCCTCCACCGTGGTTTAGATCACACCTGGTAAAGACACTCCCAGAAGAGGGCTTCCCAAACTGCTTCAGAAAGTTGCAAGAATAATGGCATAACTGTGTTCAAAGTGAGGAGAAGTAATGGGGGAGGATTAACATTCACCATATATTTTGATCACACCTTACATATACAGATTCAAATAGATGGTCAGGTGGGGAAAATGCCTTGACAGACACTAGGCAAATGTCAGAATACATACTGAAGGGAAAGGGTGGAGTCACAGAATGACCAATGACATTTTATTCAGCCATAATGGCATGGTCTCTGTTTAGAAACTGCCATTTAATAACTTCCCAAAATATTTTCTGATATAAAGTAAAAATAGAAACCATTACTTAGCTCTAAAACCGGCTATCAGCCAAAAGTTACATGCAAGAGGAAGGAAAGGGAAACTCGACCTTTTCGTTGTTAGAAGAGGCAGTGCTTTCAAGATGAACTCCAGGAGACAATATCCCTTTCCTACATTAAAGAACAGCAGTATCGTTTAGGGTGAGCTAACCCTTCCCAAGGCTTCCTCAGGACTAAGGAAGCTGACTTGAGCAGGCTATTTCCGGGTGTGCCATGGACCCAGTATGATACGAACAAATCACTTCATCTTATCGCTGGGCTTTATGTGTGACACAGGTGCTGTTCAGAGCCGTTCCCATAGGAAGCGCAGTATACTGATGAAACCAATTAACTCTGGGCAAGAACAAAAAGGTCAAGGTACAAGGAGTGGACCAAGGATCATTACTGACTCAAAGTCCTGTGCATGTTAAAAGCCAGTGGTCGAAAATTTAATATTTACTTCCCTGATTTTTTTTTCTTAAGATCTCAACTGCATAACAGGTAACTTAACGTTTTCAACAGCTGAAGAGAAAAATGAACCAGAACATACTATAACCTGCTTCACTGGAGAGTCCCATGTAAGCTAAAATGTGTGATTTGCTATACAAACATACAGCAGAAAACTAGATGTTTCATACTGGAGTCAATAGAGCTGGATATGGAGATGGAGAGCAGGAACAAAATGGTAAAGGGTGCCAGAAAACTCAGTAACCCAGAGAAGTAACATTTTAAGGCAACACTTTCAAAACTCAAAATGAGAAAGGTATCACACTTAAAAAGTAATTTTAGGGCTGGGGATTTAGCTCAGTGGTTCTGGTGCCTGCCTCGCAAGTGTAAGGTCCCGAGTTCGATGCCCGGTACCATAAAAAAAAAAAAAAATAGTATTTTTAAACAAAGAAATACTACACAGAACAATATATAAGCCAGAAACATGAGAAAAAGAATCAGTAATACTGATCTTGTCTTTATTTAAATATTTGATTTGGGGTTCATCATGGAATTTTTGTATGAATTTTGAGCTCCAAATACTACATAAAAATATCGCTCAAGATTTCTGGGGCCCCCTTACATTTCGCCGACCCGGCAGGTGACCAGCCACTTGGACCCGGGGTTCGGTACCAGGTCCTAGAAAGGCCACAAGGCCCAGCGGGTCGCTGTGGGAGCCCCGGGCACCGCGGGCCGGGTGGTCCCCAAGGCAGGGCAGGAGCGGAGGGCCGAGCGCCCCGCCTGACTGCGGGTGCCCCAGCCTACCTCTCTTGTTCTGCGAGCCGTGCTTCCTGGCCAGGGCGAGCTCCCTCTGGATCCGACTCTCCAGGTACTCCTGTTTCTTGCCCAGCATCTCCTCGGTCTCCCGAAGTCGGACCAGGGCCTCCTGGGCGCTGGGAGCAGCTTGCCCCTTGGAGGTGCGGCCCCCTTTGAAGAACTTGCCTAACTTGCTCATGGCTGTGGAGTTGGTTGCCAGCGGCCCGGGGCTGGGGCGCCTGTCCCCCGGTCCACTCGGGGTCCCACACCGAAGAGCCGGCGCTCCTGGGAATCAACAAGTCTTGGGGCAGGTGACACACACCCCTGGGCATTTCCTGGCCGCCTGCTCGGCCCCGCCCCTCGCCGCGGCGACCCGGCGGGGAGGGCCCGGATCCCCGGCCGGCCGGCGCCGCCGGGCCCCCTGGGAGCTGCGGAGAACAGAGAAAAGTTGAAAGATTGCCCTAAAGTTGCTGCTTTGTCCACGTTGGGGACCCATCCAGGGATGAAGAACTGGTTTGTGAGTGTCTCAGGGAAAAGAAAACCAGTGTGCCAGGCAGGGGTCTTGTGCCAGGCCTGAAAGGTGTGTGTGTGAGTGTGCTTTGTCTACCTGGATATGCAACATGCTTTTTTCTGTGTGTGTGTGTGTGTGTGTGGTGTTCTCACATTCAGGTCTCTGTTCTTCTGAATAAGAACATTCAGGTATTTTCCTCTACGTGTTACATAGGTGAGTATGTATGGCTTCTGGACATTTGCCTGACCCCGTGGTGGTGTGTGTAAGTCAGGAGCAGCTGGGCTGGCTGAGCTTGTCTGCGTTTGTACAGTCCGGGTAGTTGATATGTGCTCGGATGTCCTTGGCCTGAGTGCATCTAGATCATCTGTACAGAGCTTCAAGTGGATTAAAGATGGTGGCCATCTCTTTTGCTAAAGTCAGGACGTATGAGTGTGCTTGGTTGTTGCATTTACTTCTATAGCTAGAATGTGAAGCTTTTGGTGCAGTGGCCATTGTACCAAAAAACTATATGGGGCTATCCTATGTGTTTAGATCTTTGTCAAATGCTTTTCATAAACATCTAAGTAACGAAACATAAAGAATGACCTAGAGAAAAGAAATGTTTTACTCATGCTCATTGTCTCTGTCCCATCTATTAAAGCTACAAGCAAAAGACCTTAATGAAATGACAGGACAGTAGTATGTGATGATTGTGGCTGATGTGCCACAACTAGAAACCTGTGTTGAGCATACTACAAAGAAGTAGCATGTGGAATTGTCGTGTTCTAGTTTTCAAAGACAAGCATAGTACACTGCATAATATAGCCTCATTTAAGCAACATTATTCAACATTATCAAAACCTATTTGTGATCATTAGCCAACCTCTGCTAAAGGGAAAACGGCATCCATTACTATGACAAATTCACCTTAATATCCAAGATCAATAACACAATTTTATCTGCCATTATATTAACACAGAACAGCAAATTAATCCATGTTAGCTAGCATTGTACAGAGAGCACCAAATTTTGCCAAGGAAACTAAACATTTTCACAGAAAGCTTACCAGTCTGCCTGGCTGGCTGGCTGTCGGTCTGTCTGTCTGTCTGTCTCTCTCTCTCTCTCTCTCTCTCTCTCTCTCTCTCCCCTCTGTCTCTCTCATATTTTCTGTGTAACCCCAGCCAGCCACCTCTTATTATTTTCTTATACCTAATCCATATTTTGCTGTAATTTGGGATGATCATAAACTATAACAAGTATTATATTTTTTTATATCTAAAAATGTCATGAACATGTTTTGGAACTTGTTTTCTTGATTAGATTTTTAAGCCCTTTGGAGTTAAGAAGTAGCAAATATCCTGCTATGGTCCCATTGCTGGTCTGTTGACCCAACCTTCACTGAGTGTTTTCTATGTAAAAAGTAATCAGGATGCAAGCATAGTCTCTCTTCAGGAACTCGCTTTCTTTCCAGGGAATAGTAACATCTTTTGAACTGCTGTGTGGCCAGCATGCTACGCTGCATTATCAATAATCTCTACATAAATCCTGCAAAATAGGCATTGCTATTTCTATCTGGTAGAGAAAATACTTAGGTTCATTTGGTTACTTGACCACATTCAAACAGGCAGTAAAGGTGAAAGATTTTAAAACCTGTGATCTTTTCACTATTTATGTGACCTTCTTTCCCCCTGAGTTGGTCCAGAGGATAAGTTAATTAATATGTTTTTAATTGAAAATTTTGGGGGGCTGGGATTTAGCTCAGTGGGTCCGCCACGTGTCGCCTGTCGCAGACACAAAGACCCAAGTTCGATCCTGGTACTCAAAAAATAAAAATAAAAATTTTGGGGAAAAAGTTTGTTATGAGTTTACTATATGTAAGAGATCCTACAAGCATTACTGAATTCATGGCAGGGTACATTTAAATAGGATACTAAAACATTGCTTCATGCTTCACTAACTATACTTTTTATTGAAAGAATAATGAACGAATGGAAAAGGACTGAAAGTTACAGCAAGGAGGTGTGTACCTATCCATATTTTCATATCATATACTTGCCAAGTATCTATATGTTGCAGGCATTGTGCTAGTAACTCATGTTGGAGGATATAATTAAGAACAAGATAAAAAGTACCTTTTCTGTTCCAACAGATCTTAAACCTTAAGGAAGAGGCCAGAAGTTAAATAAATTATCTCACAAATAATAGACTTTATAGGCTAAACTTCTAATAAGTTCTATGGAAAAGTATGGTAACTATGAGAATAAGTAATAAAGGAACTTGATCTTGTCTTGAGGTCAAAGAGTGGCCTGAAAAAGTGCCATTTAAATGGAAGTCCGAATGAAGAATAGAAGTTACTTAAATTTGCAGAAGGGAAACTAGTGTTCTAACATAAGAAATCACTCATTTCCTTCTTCTTTCATTCATTCATTTCATTATTCAGGCATGTTTTCTGAATGCATTATATATAGCCAATGCAGCTCTAAATGCTGAAATTCAGTAGTAAATAGGTAGACAAAACCCCATGGATTTTTGTAGCCTACTTTCTAATTAAGAGAAGACAAATAATTAATGAAGTAATGTATTAAATGTGCTACATGGAAAAAATGGAGAATATTAGAAAATTAAGATAAAATCAGTATGTGCAAATATCGAGTCTGTAGTAGTAGGGATTGAAAGAGAGACAATGCCACTGGGGCTTGGAGATAGGACAATACAGTGAGACCATCTTCAGATGTAGGTAAAGTCCAGATCATGTAGGGTCTGCACCATGTGCTAAGGATCCCATACTTTAGCTAAAGAAAAAATAAAAATTATTTGTAAATTAAAATAAAAAATCTAGTCATTAATTTATAATTCAATGAAAAAAATAATTACCTAATTTATTATGTAGTACTTTCAGAAGCACATATCATATCCAAAGCAAGATACATTTAAATTAAAAATCATTCCCTTCCATTAATATATAAATTCAATGGGGAAAAGATAATACTTGCAAGCAAGTAAACCATCCAAATATATATTAGTGTTTAATCCATCGGTGGGGTGTAGAAAATAAATTTTTAAATCAATGATTTAAAAGCTGAAAATAATACATTAATCTTCATTCAATGCTCATCCTATAAATGTGGTTTCATAAAGAGTTCTCAGTGTCTAGTGTATTTTTCATTTTCTAATCTCAATTGATCTCAGCTAATAAGGAGGCTGTTGTTCAAAAAGAATGATCTTGTTCTGGATGATTTACCATGGTTAAGATGGCAAAGGAAATTGGAAATTTATAGATCTGTTAAAAAGACCTGGACGTCAGGCTAATTGATACATTTTGGCCACCCCTTGAAATTGCATCCATTTTTAGAACGCCAAATGAGCTCACTAAAGCAACACAAGAAGAATTACCCTTTAAACATACTGCAGAATAAACATCAAATACATATTTATTAACCAGCTCAACAAGCATGTACACATTCTTTCCATCAGCAGTTCTTTTGTTTCTTAGAACCGAATACTGATGGTCTGTAATACTCAATTACAATAATGAGGACAAAAGTAGAAATTATAAAAGTAATAATTTTGCAAAAATAAAAATTGGATTGCCCTAACTCATAATGAAAATATATAGTGCCTTTGGCTGAGTTTTCCCTGTGTTGCTCTTTATCCATGTTCATCCCTGATCAGAAAGAAGTTTAAAAATCTAAAGTTTATCACAGCAGACTGTGAAATGTTTCCTACACCAACCATTTAATGGATTTAAAATGAGATGTAGTCCCTACCTCAATGTCACTCTTACTGTACAACCTACTCAAAGCTGAGTTTTATACCTTCCATTACCACTAGAATTTCATTATACTTGAGTATAATCACATGAGATTTATACCTAATCAAGAAACACACAACTTCTCCCAGTCCTGTTCCTGTCTTTCTCAGTTGATAGCTTCTGGCTTCCTTTTACTCAAACCAAAAACTTCCATGACCCACTTCCAATCCATCATCAAATTCCGGGGCTATGACTGATACAGAAAGCTGACTACTGCTTGTTACCATTTCTAAACTGTTAACACCATGCCTTGAGCCACAGTCACCTCTTACTAGATTATCCCAGTAGACTTTTAAATGAACTTCATATAAATGTCTTTACCTTGCCACAGTCTCCCTACATAGCAGCTAGAGTGGGTCCAGATCAAAATATTCTGATGACTTCCCATTTCACTCTTGTTAAAACCATGGGCTTCACAAGTGTCCTCTACCTCCACATGAAGTAATTCCTACCCCCACCTCAGTTCAGGGATACCTTCCTGTTCACTCCCCATCCACTCCCTGCTAGCCACTGTGACCTCCTCACTGTGGCTGGAATACACCAGGTACACTCTCAAGGTAGTCTTTGCCCAGCGTGCTTCTCTGCCTAGAAACCGGCCTGTAGACATCCGTTTCATTCATGCTGTCACCTTTTGTAGATCTTTACTTAATCTCCTTATCCCACCATATTTAAAATCACAACCTTACCCTCTCGCACCCTAATACCTACAAAACTGCCATCTCCTTTCCGGAGTTATTTTTCTTCATAGTGCTTTCCACCTTCTATTTTATGCTGGTTTTCTTTTCCTTTTTCTGTCCTGTTCTCACGTAGGACACTACCCATAAAAGCAGAAATTGTTCTTTGTTTTGCTCACCAGTGTGTTCTCAGTTCCCGGAGCAGAGCCTGGCGTATTGTAGGCACTCTATCAATATTTTTGAATGGATAAATGAATACAACAGATGATAAAATATCCAAATTATGGCACAGTACATAAACATATTTGAAATTTCCTAGATCCAACAATCTGTCATCATTCTGACAATGAGACAGAAGATACACCTAGCTACAGTTCTGATCATTCAAACTTTGAGACCAGGTTTCCGCTGCCTGCCTCGCAACCGCAAGGTCCCAAGTTTGATCCCCGGTACCATAAAAAAGCAAAGAAAACTTTGAGACCAGTAGGCAAAAGTTCTCACAAAATCTCTGGTCTATCTTACTTGGGGCAAAGGAAAAATCTTGCAACAGATATTATACTCAGCATTAGGGAGGGCAGTAAACATTTCTCCTATGAAAATGTTCTCTAGGAATAGTTCATATGTTTTAATACTTTATTCCTTTTCATTGGTGAGAATTTCAAGGAGTAAACTCAATAGTAGTTTAATAGTAGCTGTTAGTGCATCATCCAAAAAATATCTATAGTTAGATTAATTATGCTTGAATATTAAGTTGTGCCAAAATGCAATTTAAGCTGTCATTTCAAAATAATTTTATGTATGTTTAATCAAGACTACTAAAATTATATCTCTAAAGAATAATTACCTGAGAAATGTTACAAACTTACCTGCTGGGGAAAATGACTGCTTAAAAAGATGATACTTTTCAACACACACACAGCATGTATGCACACACAAATATATGCACACACACACACACACACACACACACACAAAGCTGTGTCCATGACAATGATGAGCATGGTGGTACGATGATAGCTTTTTCTCTGCATCACACCCTTCCTCATCCCTACTGACTAAGCTCTAAAGGCTGAACAATATAAACACTCTTGGGCCAGGTATGTTGGTACACACCTTTTACTCTAGGAGGCTGAGGGAAGAGGATCACAAGTTCAAGCCTAACCTGGACAATTTAGCAAGACTGTCCCAAAATAAAAAAATTAAAAAGGAACCAGGGATGTCACTTATTGTGAAGATCCAGGGTTCAATCCCTAATATGCAATCAAACAGTCAATCGAATGAATCAAAAATAAAATACACTCTCTTAAATTTTACACAACACTATTTTTAGTTCCTTTACCACTTTTTTGCTTTCATTTCAACGTGTCCCAGTTTGCATGCTTCACGCTTAAAGTATCTACCCAGATCCAAGCAAACTGCCATGCAAGGGTGGCATGTGAGAGGCTGGCACCTTGGATAGTAAATTTAAAAAGAAATTTACCACTAGTCAAGGAATATAGGAAGTCTTGATACACTGCAAGAGAGGAACGGGCAGATTCCAAGAGAGGAATGTGCTATCAGTGTGAAAGGCAAGGTTTTTATATTTGATTTTAAAGTGAGGAGAATCTGGAAATGTCATCCCAGGAGAGTGATTTCTTCAGGTCATGGTGGTTCTGTCATCTCTCTGTCTTAAATCTAAGGATAGCAGCCATTGTTTGAAGGCTAACAGAATGTTTTTGTTCAACAGGGTCCTGGGCCCTTACCATCGCTAGAAATAGTCTTTCTGGATAAAATAATTAACAAATATATAGAGTGACTAATGTTAGTGGTCAAGGGGATCAGAATAAAATATATACATTTGTACTTGAAAGGGACTTTTGACATTATATTCAGACAGGGGAAGCAATGGTATTCTTTAAGATGAGTGGTTACATCATCTAGTGATATATGCGTAGTTCTTGTCACAGCTTACAGGTGGAATGTTAATGTTATACTACCGACTCATCATGTGGCTGCAGTGTGGCCTTTAAAGAAACAATAGTAAAATATCCATGATTCCCCAAACAAACTATACTGGGCATTTTTTGTCAGTCAAGCAAGGGAAAATAAACTACTATATTCATATTCCTTGTTCTGAAGATTATATTTTTATTAATCTGGATTAACATTGTAATGGCTTTGGGGACAGCTATAGGTCAACACTGACTTAGTCATTCATTTTTTCATTGGACAGATATTTTTTGAGGCCTTACTATAAGGCAAGCACTAAGTGATGAGTCATGAGTCAGTGATATAACAAATAAGACGTAGTCTTTGTCTTATGACAAAGTGACAAAGAGCAACCTACATTAATCAATAATCACGGAAATATAAACTTGGAAATTGTGACAAATATTATAAAGAAACATATGGAAATATGAGAAATCATAGGAATAATTAAAACAATTGCCCCGCAAATTATCCACCTCCTAATTTCTGAAGCCTGTAACTATTTTACCTTTCATGCAAAAGACTTTGTGGGTGTGAATCAGTTAAGGCTCTTGAAATGGGGAGACTATCCTCATATATGCAGGTAGGCCCAATGTGATCATAAATGTCCTTAGAAGAGGAAAGCAGAAGGGTTGGACCAAAGAAGGAGATGTGGCCGGAGAGATGGTAGGGACTTGGGAGGAAGAGAGAGAAGTTTGAGGGTACCACTATGCTAACCTTGAAGACAAAAGACAGGATCATGAACCAAGGAATATAGAAATCATTTAGAAGCTGGTAAAGACAAGGAATTGGGTTTACCCGTAGAACCTTCAGAAAGATCGCAGCCCTGTCCATAGAATTTAGAATTTTAGAATTTCTGACTTCTAGAACTTTAAAATAATTTAATTTGCATTAAGTCACTACATTTGTGCAATTTGTTAGACCAATAGGAAACCAGTACATATAAAAAAGAACCTGATTCAAACTAGGGCAGATCCTAAGAGCCTCTGTAGAGAGCCGAAAGATGAGGTGGAGATAACCAAGGACATTTAGGGAAAAGAGAATGCCTTCCAGACTAAAGGAATGGGTCTGTGAGGCAGGGCAGAAAAATATCTGGTAGGTCCAATGACTCAGAGGCCAGTGTGAGGACATAAGGAATAGAATAGTTTTAGATGCTGAAGAGAAGGAGGCAGGAGTTAAGTCATTTTTATCAACCAGTCTATAACATTAGGAAAACAACATTTATTTTAGAGTGTTATTTTGAAGATTAAATGGAATAAACCATGTAAGTACTTGGCACATAGTAAGTAATCAAGAGTGTGGACTGTTTTATTAAAGTTTGAATTTAGAATGTTCAGGAACTGATTTTGAACATGATATATGAGATAAACTGATATTCAGAAGGGAAAAATAATTTTAGTCACATAAATTTTGGAATATTACACTATTCGTTTGTTTTATTATTCAGCTATTGATTTGATGTTGTGCAACAAAACACCCCAAAACTTTAGGACCTGAGCAATAGGCATTTATATTCATGATTACAGATCTAGAAGGTATGATTGAAAAATACAGTAAATAGAATTTTTAGAAGATTTTATTATAGTAAAAGACACACTGCCATTAAACTTCCTCAAAATACTCCTCTTTGCTTCAAACACACTTATCCCATAGTTTTTACCACTTTCTGAAGCAACTCCAGAAGTCCTCTTTCATGAGTATCTTTAGTTATGCTGTTCTTGTTGCCTCAATGTCCTGAATTGATTCAAAACGATTACCTTTAATGATCATTTTGACTTTGGGGAGGAGGCAGAAGTCACATGGTGCTAGATTTGTTGAATAAGATGAGGACACACTTCAGTGGTTTTAATTTTTATTTTTATTAGTACATGTTTGTAGTACATAATGATTACATTCATCATGGGGAATTGGTACAGGTGTATAACATATCTTAATTCTTTCTTCATACACTTGACCTTCCCTCCTTCTTTCTCCCTCCATTTCTTGGTCCTCTTTTCTTTTGCAAAAGATCTATCTTCCTGTATCCTATTAACTATCTTTTATTTTGCTCTTTAATTTAAGGACACATCATAATATTATTATGATCCTTTCCATTGGATGGCCCTCATCAGCAGCATTTATTAAACTTTTGATCACACCTTGTAAAACACTGGTGAAAGAAAATTTCAATAACAGTCTCAGAAAGTAGTAAGAACTATGGCAGAATGGGGAAAAAAGTTCCTAGCTACTCCTCGGACAGAGGACTAATACCTATATTATATAAAGAACTCAAAAAAATTAGACCCTCCCCCAAATTTAAAGAATCAATCAAAACATGGGCACTTGAAATGAATAAATGTTTCTCAGATGAAGAAGTACAAATGGTCAACAAATACGTGAAAAAATGTTCAACATCACTGGCCATTTGAGAAAGACAAATTAAAACAATACTCACTCCAGAAAGAATGGCTGCAGGTAAGAAATCAACCAATAGCAAATGCTAGTGAGGCTGCAGTGGCAAGGAGGGGAGGCTTCCTCATTGTTGGTGAGAGTGTAAATTGGTACAACCATGGGGAAATCAGTATGGAGATTCCTCAAAAAACTAAAAATAGAAATTCCATTTGACCTAGCTATTCTTCTTCTAGATATCTTCCTGAAACGAGTTAAAGATGCCATATTCCATGACTGCAGGACAAGTTACTGAAGAGTTGTACAGAGAATATCAACATAACTACAATCTCAATCTCGAAACAGGGCACTGCCGACATCACAGAAGTCTCCCTACCACACCATGCATGCCTTCTTGACCGAAAGTCCCTTCCTCACCGCCACGGGTATCATTCCAGCTACTCACCTTTCTCTGTTGCACACTAGCTCTTTTCCTGGAGTTCCTTATAGGCACACCACCACTCACTGATCCCTAAACAATTTAGCAATGCCTTTTTGAACTTTATATAACTGAATTACATACAGTGCATTCTTTGGGTTTGGTTTTCTATACAGTACTACATTTTTAAGTTTCATCAATGTTCTTATGTGCAGTTGTAACTGGTTAAAGATGACAGTTTGACTATTCTATGATTTGTTTATCTTTTTTGTTATTGGTGAGCATTTGGCCGATTTTGAGTTTGTGCTATAAGAAATAGTGCTGTTCTGAGAATTCTTGTGTATCTCTCCTGTGTTCATATTTCTCCAGTGTATAGCCATATTACTCTTCCAGATGGTTACATTGAGATCACTTTTTCATTCTAAAACGTGGGGGAAATGATACTTCAGGTATAGAGCAAAAATCTAAATATCAGTTACTGATTTCATAGAGTTATAGCAAATATTTCTTATGATACGTTAAAAAAATTCAACAATGAATAAAAGATCAGCTCAATTATCAGGGTATGAACATATAGCCTAGTAAGGGAGAAGATGTGCATAAGAATAACTGTAATAGGCTGGGGATTTAGCTCAGTGGCACCGCGCCTGCCTCGCAAGTGCAAGGTCCTGAGTTTGATCCCCTGTACCAGGAAAAAAAAAAAGAATAACTGTAGTAAAATTTGGAGATAACTAAATTTAATAAGGAGGTTCAAATAAAACAAATAGAGTCCAAAAGAAAGAGTGATTTCACTATATTAAGAGGAATAAAGGAAAGCCTTGAAAAAGTGGTAACTTCTGAAGTTGACTGTCAAGGATAAGTAGAAATTCAATTTGTATAAAGGGGTGAAATGATATTCCAAAGCAGAGGGAACAGCTCAAAGACACAGAGGTAAGGCAGCTGGAACAGAATTTGAAACCTGCAATAATTCAAAAGCCCAGTGAATAAAAGAATTAATAATATTTTTTGCTGAAATACAGGCTCGGGGTAATTATATTACAATGGACAGGAAAAACAAGCACTGTTTCTATCTTCTTTAGGCTAACAGCTTAGAGAGGGAACAGACATTAAATAATCACACAAACAAAAGCAAAATCAAATCTGAGACAAATGCTTTGAAAAAGATACAAAGCGAAAGTACTAAGAGCAGGAGTGGAGGAAATAAAGAATTTCTTTAGCAAAAGATGCTTGAGGTGACAACCAGAGGAAAAGAAGAAATGGATGAGTTGAAGTAGGAAAGAGAAGAGCCTTCCAGGTAGCAGAAACAGCAGGTTGAAAGGGCCTGAAGCTGTGGGGAACAGAGTATAAAGAGGCCTTTGAGAGATAGTGAGTAAGAAAAGAGCAGGTTGGGCCAAGATTTGAAAGATTTTAAATGCTAACCAAAACAATCCCTTTTAGCCTAAGTGAGCTCCTTGAAGCCAGGAACTGTGTTATTTAATTCTGTAACAGACATAGAATAATATCTGCTATCTAGTAGGTTTCTATTGCTGAATTGACCTTAGGGCAGATTTTATTTTGTAGCTAATAAAAGCCACTGGGGAAAAAATTGAGGAGCGAAGCAGGTAAATTATAATACAACCTGGCTAGTGGTAAAAAGAAAAGTAGTACGTGCTACTAGAGCAGAGATCCGCTATCCTGGAGGCCTGAATTTTGCCTGTGCCTTCTGAAAAAGCCTTCCCAGATGAAGGAGCAAGAGAATTACATCGGAAGGCGGAGTAAGAGACAAAAGTCTTTCCTAAACTTAACTGATAAGAATAAGTGTGAGAGTGTTTGTTAAAAATACAGGGCCGAGGATTTAGCTCAGTTGCACTGTGGCTGCCTTGCAAGTGCAAGGTACTGAGTTCTATCCCTTGTACCAGAAAAAAAAAATCAGCTTCCCAGTACCATTCCAGACCCCCTAAATTAGACTCAGGGAGGAGTATAGGCAGCTGTATTCATTAACAAGCACTTCACTTGATTCTTATTTTCAAGAAAGTCTGGGAAATCTGGGTATAGAGAACATTCTAGGGAAAAATAAAGGCATGTGTAAAAGCATGTTACTGAGATAGAGGTATAGTTAGGAAGCAGAGTAGGGAGTTTGTGGGGAAAGTGGTTATTACTGAGACTGGAGAACAGGATGGAGGCGAGATTGCAAAAATCTTTGGAATGAGCAAGAATTCTGTGACTAATGGGAAATTGTGGGAAGATAATAGATGAGAAAGTGAGGGTTTTTTAGGGGATGACCAGAGAAATTCAAGAGACAGCTCCGAGGCAGAATAGATAATGTTTAATGGCTATGCCCATGAGAGAAGTAAGAAAGGAGAAGTGGAAAATGAATCCAGCCTTTCTAATGTGGTAGTCTGCCTTTAGTAGGGAGGCAGTGATAAGGTGAAGAAAACATTTCATTTTGGACTAAAGTTTTACATGACAAATAACTCTAAATGGATACTTATAAGGACCCTTGGAAATACAGACTTCCGTTTCAAATAAAGTTCTCAGAACTGAGTACATAGGTATTAGAGTCTTTATATTGAAGTCATGGAATTTCACTTCTATGGGGATGTAAATTGATGAATTAATCAAAGATAAATTATGGAGAAATAGATGTGTTTAAGTAGCACCAGAGGAGAAATACACAAAAGGACTAGAAATGGGAGAGCTAGCAACTACAATCTTGACAACTTTAACCACCCAATGTTCTATGAGGTCTCCAAGAACTGACAAAATAAAAATATTTCCATTATGATTCAACTGATAAAATATATATTTGCCACCTATCTACAATATTCAAATACCTATCTAGAAAACCTGCTATTGATTGACTGGATTATTCCGGTAGGTCCTTAGTTTCAAAAAGTCTTGGCACAATACTTGGACTTTAGTCTTAGCTCTTCTGCCAATTTGCACAAATCATATAGCTCCCATGAACGAGTTTTCTCAGCTTTAAAAAAAATAATAAAGCTAAGCGTGAAAAATTTAGTTTCTCCAGAGATTCAAGCAACTCTGAGACAAAAATATATATATTATATATATCTTAAATAGATTTTTTTCAAGAGCATATTCTGAAATATTGTTTCCCAGTTCCACCCTTCTACCTTCCACAATGGATATTAATTTGGGAATCCTCGGTTATACAGGATGAATCGAATAGTTCTCTAGTTCCTGTCACGAGTATAGTTCTCACTCATCTACTCTGTGTCTGATGTCACGCTGGTGGAATGGCATCCTTTTTACACAGAAGCCTCTCCTTCCTCACTACCTATGCAGTGCCTCATCTGGCACATTCCTTAATGGAATCTCCAGTTTCCTCCAGGTCATTTAAACTAGTCTGGGCAAACTGAGGAATCCTATGTGCTCTATATACACACTAGAGACCTCCAGGGTTATATTTTTTTTCTATGAAAAAAATTTTAAGGCGAGAAAAAGAAACTTTTTTAAAAAAAGCATTAATGACTTCATTGCACGGGCATTTACTTCAAACTAATCATAGTAAATTAGTGCAGCATGAATCAGGGACTGAATAAGCAGTGTCCATCTCTTTTACTTGATTCTTGCAATTCTTTGTGCCAGGTACTGTGCTGATTCCTGAGATTATGCTGTTAATTGTTTTTTAATTCGTTTAAGTTCATTCCTGCTTCTTGCGGCGGCACGCAATACTCCAGAAGGGCTGTTTTTCCTAAGAACTGGACCAGAACTCCGAGAAAGACACTCAGAAACCACCGCCCCTGTGCTGGGGCCTTAGCACAGGATAGGGGATCCCGCCTAGGAGTCTCCCCTTGGCAACTTCAGGTCCTCGCCCCGCCCCTACTTCAGACCCCGCCCCCGGTGATCCACGCTCCCAGCAGGCACCTCGCGTGCAAACGCTGCCCCGTCCCCCCCGCGGTTACGCCCCCCTGTTTGCGTCTCTTGAACAATGGCGGAGTTGGATGTCGGGCAGCACTGCCAGGTGGAGCACTGCAGGCAGCGAGGTGATGCAGCAGTGCCCATCCCGGCCGCGGAAGACCAAGGCCTTGCTTTTGGCCCTTGGATGGTGGCCCGGGTGAGGGGAGGCCGCAGGGCGGAGCGTAGTCCGAGGAGCGGGGCGGGTGCGTCCTTCCGGACTCAGCAGGCAGTGTGTTGGTACTTTCTGGGTTGTTGCTGCACCTGAGCCTTTGGAAGGAACTCGTGGTCTTCCTGGTCTCTACGCAGTTTTTGCAAACGAACCTTGCGGAGTTCACTATGGCTAGTGCGCCTTGCCCGAGGAGGCCACAGAGCACACACTGCTGGGTCATGGAACCCGCAAGTCCTTTCTGAGGAGCTCCAGCCGAGTGAGGTTTAGGTCCCAGAGACCCAGATTCCCCTCTGGCCTGCCTCTGCTGCTGTCGACGAGCCACTTTCCAAGACTTTTTGTTTACTTATCTTTTGCCTATGTCAGACGAAGGAGTTAGGTATTCAGGCTTGATGTACACAGATGAGAATCTGTAGAAGCCCCTGTATCAGATTGTCAAATGGGGTGATCACCCTCAAACTTTTTATTATCCTCTGATGATAATTATCCTCTTCTTGCTCATTCTCTGATCGTGATTATCATTATTTGAACAAATATTTATAAAGCATTGATTTTGGTACTGGACTCACATAAGGCTAAAACTACTACATTCTTTCACGCAGAAGAGTTTAAGACTGCTAAGCTGCATTCTAGAGAGCGTTGACAATATGATGATGGTCTCTCCATTGAACAGAGAGATCTTGTAATATGCATAGCCCCTGGTAGAGTGACACAGGACTCAGCATGTGATACTCCTAAAACAGGCAGGTTCTTGAAGCATCAGAATCACACAGACTACTTCGTCTTTGGTACTGGGTTTCACTCCAGATGTGTGCATGAAGTGACAAATAGGTTTCATCAGCCCCTGCAATTTCGGGAATTAGTAGTAAGCTCCGGAATCAGTGTATTGAAAAGGCTTTGAAGTTTAGTCCAGATTCAGTGTGAGGGTCATAATTTATTAGATACTGTGGGCAAGACCAAAATTTCAGGTGCCATAATCTTTGCTAGGTTCTTGTTACTTATAACATTCTGTAGATGTATCTTTCACTATTACCTGTAATCACCAGCCACTCAGCAGGTAAAAGCTTTTTTTTCTTGCAGTCCTTTCTTTGAAGCTTAGCCATTTGGATTTTGACTGTAGATTTTTTATACCTGATGTCCCTGGTTTTCTGTAGTGGATCTAAAAATATTATCTGTCATCTATGATATAATTTGTCTTCCTTTCCAACTTCACGTACCTTTAGTGTAACTATCTGACATGAGGCAAGGTCTGTCTCTTTCGGACCAGTGTAAAAGTTAAAATGTAGAGTAAATTGAATATCTAAATTTCATCTAGCTTCTGGCTGAATGGAAAAATGATGTTAGGTGATAATAAATTATCTTGATTTTAGCTCTTGCCCCTGGGCCCTCCAGGTTTTCATCTAGTATTTACTTAGTTACCAAGAGTCTCAAGACAGCAAGTATGTACAGTTTTGCATATTGAAAATAACGTAAGTTTTGCAAAATAGTACATGCTTCAGTTTCTTTCAATGAAATCATTCTTATTTTTTTATCTCATTGATTATACAGATTAATTCGTTTCATTTTGGCGGGTTTGTACATGGATATAACTTTTATCATTTTCACCAACCCCCCTTCATCACCCTTACCTCCCCCTCCCCCTAGTTTCCCATATTTTTGAGGATTTCAGTAAGTTTGTTTTGCTCATAGCCATCCCATTACCCCTATTACATCCCCCTTATACCCCTTTCCCTTCCTCTTACTCCCTTCATTTTATTTAATAACAGATTCCTTGCTACTTTCTTATCTTTTTTAGACTCTACATATTAGAGAGAATTTCATTCTTCCTTATTATGGCTGAGAAATAATACTTATATGTATTACATACTATATAATGTATATCACATTTTCTTCACCTGTTGATGGGCACTTAGGCTGGCTCCATATCTTTGTTATTGTGAACTGTGCCACAATAAAAATATTGTCTTTATAGTATGCTGACTTTATAGTTTCAGATATATATCTAGAAGTGATATGGCTGGATCGTATGGTAGCTCTAATTTTATTGAGGAACCTCCATACTAACTTCCATAGAGGCTGAACTAATTTACATTCCCACCAGCAGTGTAGCACTCCCACCCCCATCCTCATCATTTATTGTATTTTGTATTCTTCATGTAGCCATTCTGACTGGGTTGAAATGAAATCACAGTGTCTTTTTTTTTTTGGTACCAGGGATCGAACTCTTAATGTCTTTTTTTGTTGTTCTTGTTGTTGGTTGGTTAGTTGGTTGGTTGGTTTTGAAACAGGGTCTCACTCAAGGCAGTCCTGGTTCAGCTCCGGAGTGCTGGGATTGCAGGTGTGTGCCACCACACCCAACTTCAATGTAGTTTTGATTCGCACATCCTTAATAACTAAAAATGTTGAACATTTTTTCATATACTTGCTGGCTGTTTGAACTTCTTTTGAGAAGTGTCTGATCAGTTCATTTGCCTGTTTATCAATGTACTATTTGATTTTTTTGGTGTTGTTTTTGAGTTCTTTATATGTTCTACGTATTGATCCTCTCTTGGAAGTGTAGTTGGTAAAGATTTTCTCTCATACATAGGCTGTCTCTTCACTCTCCGTTGTTTTTCCTTGCTGTGTAGAAACTTTTTAATTTGGTGTAGTGCGTTTCTTGATTTTATCTATTATTTTCTGTGCTGTTGAAGTCCTCTTCAGGAAGTCTTTGCTGTGGCTATGGCTTGAAGGGTTTCTCTTGTGTTTTCATTTAGCACTTTCAAAGTTTCAGGTCTTACGCCTAGATTTTTTATTCATTTCTAATTGATTTTTTTACCAGGTGAGAGATAGGGATATAGTTTCAATCATCTAGTTTTTCCAGCACTGTTTGTTAAAGAGGCTGTCTTCTCTCCAACATACTCTTTTGGTTCCTTTGTCCAGAATCAGCTGGCTGTTAAAAAAAAAAAATCAGTTGGCTATAGTTGCCATTCTGTTTGATGTCCTCTGTTCTAGTCTATTGGTGTATGTGTCTATTTTGTGCCAATACCAAGCTACTTTTGTCACTATGGCTTTGTAGTATGATGAAATCAAGTATTGTGTTGCTTCCAACCTTGTTTTTTTTGCTTAGCATTGCCTTGGCTATTCTGCATCTTTTGTATTTCCACACAAATTTTAGTATTTTTTCTCTATTTTTGTGAAGAATGCCATTGTTATTTTGAGGGGACTGCATTGAATCTATAGATTTCTCTTGGTAATATAGCCACTTTAACAATATTAATTTTGCCAGTCTATGAACACTGGCTGTCTTTCCATCTTCTAGTGTCTTTAATTTCTTGTGTTCTGAAATTTTCATTGTAGTAGTTTTTTACCTCATTGAATAGATTAATCCCTAGGTATTTTATTTGAAACTATTGTGAATGAAATTGATTTCCTGACTTGTTTCCAACTAGGCCATTATTGGGCTAAATTTACTAAAGTTACTGAGTTTTAATGTTGATTGTTATCCTGCTATATGGCTGGATTCATTTATCATCTCTAAAAGTCTTTTGGTAGAGTCCTTAGGATTTTCTGTTGGATCATATCACCTGCAAACTAGGATAATTCAACTTCTTCTTTTCCAATTTGTATCCCTTTAGTTTTTTCTCTTGTCTAATTGTTCCAGCTAAAATTTTAAGAAATATACCGAATAATGGAAATGATGTCTATGTGAATAAAAGTGGAGAGTAGATATCCTTGCCTTGTTCCTGATGTATACTTAATTTCTTGATGTGGAGCTGAAGTTCAGAGTCATGGTTTAAAAAGCCACATTGACCGTTTATCAAACTCACTTCTATGTAAAGGAAGAATTACTTAGACCTTCTTATTCTACAAGCATAATTACCTGGGGGCCCCTTTTGGGTACATTACTATCTTTTTCTATTTTGGCTTAAGATACCCTGGAAAATAAGATCTTTTCAACACAATTGTAGCTTTCTCTAAAGAGGGACTAAACAGGGCCAGGGATTTAGCTCAGTGGTTCTGTAGCCTGCCTCAAAGGCGCAAGGACCCTGTTCGATCCCCAGTACCACAAAAAAAAAAAAGAGAGAGAGAAACTAAACAGTACCTTCTTGTGTTTACTTTGTAAAAGTGATGCACAATTAGATATGTCCAGCCTGCCTTAGCACTACAGTGTAATTTAATATTAGGTATGTTGAACAATTTAGAAAGTGATTGATTGTATCTAGTAGTTAATGGTTAGTTGCCACATCTGAGAATGGATACTTTTACTTGCTTTCCAAAAATTTAGTTTCTAACTTTGATGCTTGGTCCTAAAGTAGTTGTTTATCAACTGGAAGGAAACAATTCAACAGTTAACTTTAAAGTATCAGTCCATTTATTGAATTTCTGGAATCTCTTTAAAAGCATATCCACCCAGTGTATTCTGGAGCTGAACATATTCAAAAGAAATTAATTGTTGTAATTATTCTTACTAATTATAGTTACTATATTGTTATTCTGATATTTTACACATATCTCATTTGGATTTTATAATTACTTGCTGAGGTAGGTGTGGCCTACAGCATAGATACAGATACAGATCTATAGATACGTGTGCATACTCATATATATACATATATACACATACTCTGTGCTTTGTGTGTGTGTATATATTTGCCTCTCTATACCCATTTATATTAGTTAATAGTACTTTGGTTTGGGGGTATGTATATATTAACATGGCATGGAGAGAAAGATACGTGAACTATATACAATTATCTCACAAGGACACATATACTATATGCTTTATCTTACTATTTATACTGTATATATCTCTCCAGAAGTTTACTATTAAGTAACCTACTTAATAGAGCTATATTAGTAAGCAGTGGAATGAAAAACCCCTAGGTTTTTGGTTCTGTGTTTTTCCTCCAATTGCAGAGTTTTTACAAATATAAGGTCTTCAGAAAGAACACCTAGTAAATCTTGGAAATACAGGGAAAAGAACGAAAAAAGAAAAGAGAAAAATACCACCAAAACTTCTTTTCTCATCTAAGAAAGCTACTACAATATCTATCTCCTATTAGTTTAGTCACTTCTTTCCAGAGTTAATGAAGTTGTGATGACTTTTGTTTAATAATGATTATGTGGTGATATTCTAGAAAATTATTCAAAAAGAGTTCTCCTCCAAAGGAAGGGCAATCCTCTAAGATAAATATACTCTACTGTATCTCCTTAAGATTCCTTTTCTGTAAGAAAACTAAAAAGCAGATACTGACCAGTACCTACCATATTTCCTCCAATTTTAGATTTTCTTCCCTTTGTATGTGATGGTTGTTCAGGAATATTTTGGTAAGTTAAATTTTTATGTAGGATTTGGGAGTAATTTCATTGTTTATAATACAGGGTTAATTTCCAAAAAGTATAATCCTTTGAAATAACTTTAGCCATTAATATATAATAATTACTTGGGGAAAAAAAGAAACTGACTCGTCTAGGCTCCACTTGTGTATATATGTGACTCATCTTTAAACTTGCAGAAATGGGGTGATACATGTGAATTAAAGAATATGGTAAAAAATCTTTATTTTAATAAATGAAAAGAGCCAAGTTTGTAAATTGCTTAAAGTAATATCACATGTTATTTGAACATATCACATGCACAGTAAAACCTGGGTACTAACCAAGGATTTAGGGAAACATAATTAAAGTTTCAAACATCAGGCATTTAATTTACTAAACAGAACACTAAAAGAACAAATCTATTTCAGAATATAATTCACAAGGATTTGTTGGAAGTAAATAAAAGTAATGCATGTTTTTAAATTATTCAACATTGGAGCACTCTGATAGTTTATCTCTGATGATCTTTACTGATTCCTTCAAGAATAAAAGAAATTGAAAGGTCTATTTGTGTTTGTGTTTTCATGCACTTTAAAGCACTCACAGTGAAGGTAATTTAGAGTAATAAGTTGTTTTACCCATATTGAGAACATTTATGCTTTAAAACTTTAGAAACTATAGATGTTCCATCTTTAATTTATCTGGGATTTGTTTTATTTTTACATGAAAAGTTACTAATGTAGTATGAGTGTAATGTATCTTATGGATACTATATTAAAATAGCTTGGCATTGTTTGCATTTAAATAACCCTTTTTTTTTTTTTTGCATTTTTAAAGCCTTGAACACAGAAGCAGGGAATCTCATGGTTGTCCTGAGGTATGTTAATTTTCTCTAATCTGATAATGTTTGTTAGTATTCATGTATTTTCATTCAGAATTTGATTAGATTAAAAGCTAGTCAGGGACTAGAGATTAAAGTTTGATGTCCTAAACTGATTAGGTAAAGAAGATTTTGCTTAATTTAGTATTATTTTTCTCTTTCTTAGAAAAAATGTATCTATTTTGTATTTGCAAGTTTTTATCCTCATAACTCTTATTCCTTAACATTTCTCTTTTAGTAGCCCACTTAGCCTTACACCGTATATTTATGAATACATGTTAGAATTAATGCCATCATATAGTTCTTCTATTTCATTGTTAATTTCACTGCTATGTTTATTTTCATTCGTATCTGGTGATAGGATTCCTTCTTAGTAAGTTTTTCTGGCTCAGTCAGCCCCGGACCACCAGAAACAAATTTATAATCCAGCAAAATCCCTATCCTAATTCCAAACAAATTGATAAATTTGAAAGAGACTGGCAGATAGAAGTCAAAATAACGCTCTTATTACTGATAATGAGCAAACTGAATGGTGAAGCTTAGTGTAGAAACAAAGAGGTCTGCAGAGGAAACTTAAAATTAGGCTTAGTCACAGCAATACTGGACCAGGTTAGCCTTCCCGAAAGCAGTTCAGTTTCAAAAGGAAAAAGAAAGCTGTTTCCACCATGCCTAATGTAAGAATTTTCTTAAACTTGGCAGTTAATTACATTGCATCACTTATCTTTTAGGCAGAGAGAGACAGGAAGTTAAACTGAATCACCACATAGTAAGCAGCATTTGTCTCTCACACTATATAGTTTATACTTACTCTTGCTTACCATTTATCAAGCATTTTATTAGGTATTTTCACATCTGTTCTCTCAGTTATAGAAAATTGAGGATACATGGATTGAGTCAGAATGTGAACCTTTGAAGAGATTTATCTGAGGAAAATAAAAACTCCCTAACATGGTAGCAGGAAATATTCATATTTTGTAAAATTTATTGATGTTTCTTATATCGCTTATAAATCTTTCATGTTTTCTTTTTTCTTATATCATTTTATTTCTACGAATTAACTCTGAAATTATTAGCTCTCATTAATTAAATAATGAAATAAAAATAATTTTAACAGTGGGTCATTGCAACAAATTTGGAAGGATATTCAAGTTAATTCCTACAAATGTAACTATCATAATCCAAAGTAATTTCCTCTGGTTACAAGTTTTAAGCAATTATTTCCCTAATTTATTTAACTCAAGAAATAATATGTAATGCTGAATAGTCTAGCTGATACAAATTTTTTAAAAAAATTATTTTAGCATTACAAAATCTTGTCTTCCTCTGATCTAATTTGTAGCATAGAAAATAATTTATGATTATGAAAATTATCTTTAACTCTGCCTCAATATAATTTTAAAGTGTTCTATCCACTAATTAAGGTGTGCAGTCCCCTACAACTGGTATAGAAAGTAGTTATGACTTGCCATTTGGAATTGATGAGATGGATTACTCGAGCATAATTTCTGTAATCCCAGCACTCGGGAGGCCGAGGCAGAAGGATCACCGTGAGTTTGAAGCCAGCCTGAACTACCTAGAGACCCTATCTCAAACAAAAAAAGCATATTTTATTATGAGGGCATCTTTGTATGAGTCTATTGCAATGTAGAAGATTAAGAGAAGTCATTTCACCTTAGCATAGAAAATAAAGATGCCACAGTATGAAAGTTTAAAACAGCACACTATCACAACATTATCATTTTTATGTAAGAGTATATAGCTTGATCTAATAAGGCTAAAAAAAATGATATGAATGCTGCATTCTGAAATAGATTTGTAAATTTGCTTTAAATGTGAACTATAATGCCATTTTTTCCTTTTTTACATTTTCAGGTGACTGTAATCAGTGAGAAAACAAAGATAGATACAAATGAACCTTACCCATGCTCATTCAAGGACTGTGCTCAAAGAGAGCTTATGGCAGTTATATGTCCTTATTGTGAGAAGAATTTTTGCCTAAGGTGCATCACTTAGACTATTCAAGTTTTATATATCTGTTTAAGTTATATACAAATATATGAAGTGGTATCACTCTTCTGTTGCTCATAGTCACCGTCATCAGTCAGATCATGAGTGTGAAAAACTAGAGATCCCAAAGCCTCGAATGACTGCCACACAGGCACTTGTTAAAGACATTATTAGTAAGTATCTAGAAAGCTTGTTTTGGTGCTTTCCTTATTGCTATAGAGACTATTCCAGAGCTCCTGCCTCTTAAAGCTACTTACCAGTTATGGAATGTATTACTAAATAGGCCCATTGGCAGTAACCTGTAATTTAATGACGTTCTTGTGATGGTGTCTTCAACAAGGCCTACCTGACCATTGACAATTGGTATACTGTGAATACCCCACCAGATGGTCTCTTTTGCTGGGCTGCTTAGATCAGCTTGTTAGCCATTATGGCTAGTTATGGTACTCATAAAATTGGCATAGTGGATTGCTTTCTCTCTAGAATAAAGTCTTATAAGCCTATTTGGGTGTGGTATGAAAACTCTTTGATAATGTGAGGTACCACAAAAAAATTGTCTTAATTACACAGTAAGAAATTTGTCTTAATTACACAAGAAAGTCACTGAGACACAGTATCTGACACTCACAACTTTAAAGAAGAAAGATTTATTTTGGCTTACAGTTTATAGAGGTTTAAGTCCATAGTTGGCTAGCTCCAAGGCAGGGCAGTCTGGCAGAGGAGCATGGCAGAGAAGAAAAAGCTCATGGTATGGTGGCAGGAAGCAGAAGAGTGATCAATGGAGCAGGAGGGAGATACACCCTCCCGGCCACGCCCACAGTGACCCACCTCCTCTTATCAGGCTTCATCTCCCAACCTCACATTTAGCTGTAAACTATGATCCCCATGATCCAATCACCTCTCTAAAGCCCCACCTATGAGCACATGAGCCTTTGGGGCAACATGGAGATATAAACCATAGCCATAACCTTGAGTTAGTCTCTCTGCCAGTATGTTTGTTCAGCAGAATTTTTCATTCTGGATTAAGGACAGTACTAAATCCAAATTTTTTTTTATAGAAGCATTAGTGGCTACATCAGATCAAATAGCCTCATGTTGGAAAGAAACCCAGAGCGGTGAATTTTTTGATATGAAGATTACCCTGATCAGTGGTGACAAACCTATGCTACACATGCCTCAGCAAACTGATCATGGAAAGCTCTGAAAAGTACACCATGAAAGGTTTGCCATCACTGGTTTAGATCAACCTCAATGAAATTTTTCCATTAGCCATATAAATAAAATATTTGCAAAGTGAATGTGGTTTCTGTGCATTGCTGTTGTGTGTAATTTATGGATGGTGCAGGATTATAATTAACAAATGTTTTACTATAATAAAACTGGAAAAGGCAAGTTCCTAATATATTTATATGCCTGTATTTATTTCTTAGATTCCAAGACGGGAGAGACAGGAAATAAACGACGGAAAGGTGCAAAAAACAGCGAAACAGCTGCAAAGGTTGCACTGATGAAATTAAAGCTGCATGCTGATGGGGATAAGTCATTGCCACAGGTTGGTCTCGGAGACTGAAAATCAAAAACATTTCAAATATTCTTGAAATCCCCCTTGTATCAAGTAGGTATTAACTTGAACCTGATATGTATTATTTCTAATATTACATGGCTTACGGTTTGTATAAATGATACTTTTTTTTTTTTAGTTTTTTCACATTACAGAACTCTGTATCCTTTTTCAACTTTTTTCCCCATTCCACCATGTTTTTATTTATCGATGATAATACTTTTAATCTAGTTCATTTATTCCATGTGACTATATCGAGTTCATCTAGACTTGTAATAAAATTCAAATTTTTCCTCTCTTTTTTCTATTATAAACTATTTTACAGTGAAGATTCTTGTGTATCTGTGGAAGAGTTCCTCCAGGATAATCCTTTTAAAACTGCACGATAGAAATTATTTTATCTAGCAACTCAATATATACACCCATACGTATTGAGATTCCTTGACACACTTTTATTAAATGATACTTAGGTTTAGTATGTGTTATGTGCTGTAATATTTTTATTCTTTTTTGTATTATTTTAAAGATTAATGACAAGAACTTACTAGGTTGATTTTCCAACTCATAATGGCTTGAAACCATCAGATTAAAAATGCTACTCTGAGGAATATATATTTAGAAATAGAAAACCTGGGTTATGATGTTGACTCATCCTCAGCTTTACTAGATATTGCCAGCTTCCTATTGTTTGTGTTTGTTCTGCTTTATCTCCTTTTAGGAATGCTTCCAACTGTGTCCATTCTTGGCCATTCATTCTTTCATAAAAATTTTAGGATCACCTTGTCCTGAGAAATTGCAATTTTCATAGGAATTATACTGAATTTTAAAGACAGTTAACGTCCTTAGAGCTTTGATTTATTCTGTCCAAGCCCATGGTTTATATTTTCAACTTTTCTTGAGGTCTTTTATGTGTGTAAGGTTATAATGCTTACCATATACAGTCTTTTGCTTAGATTTATTCTTAGGCTTTTTATAAGTTTTGCAGGCATTGTCAAAATTTTGCTGCTTTTTTCTTTTTAAAAAATCACATTTTTCTATTTGTTATTAGTGGTTGCTGTGTGTTGTTGACCTTTTATCCAACACATAAATTTGGAATGGTTTTCATACTTTGTAGATTTTCTGTGATTGTATCTTCTGCAAATTCCAATTTTGCTGGGGTTTTCCCCAAAATTATCTTTTCTCTTAATCCTCCTTTTATTATTATTGCCTAACTGCTGAGATCTCCACAACATGTTGACTAATATGTTAAATAATATGAGAGGTAGGCATCTTCATCTTTTTTTTGGTGGTAGTGGTGCTAGAGATTGAACTCAGGGCCTTGAGCAAGCTAGACAATACTGTACTTGAATCCTGAGCCGCATCCCCATCCCTTCACCATATTTCTAACTACACTATAAATGTTTCTAAAGATTCATCAACTGTTTTGTTTGCTGTAGTCTCTGTCACGCTAACAACACTTCTTTCTATTCCTAGTTTCCTAGCAATTTATATAATAAATGGGTGTTAGGATTTACTATAAGTTTTTCTCTTACATCTAGTAAGATGATCATTTTTCCGCTTACCAAAGTGATAAATTATGTTGATTGGTTTTTGTGTTGTTAAATCAGCCACATAATTCCAGGGTAAACCACCTGACTTATAGATAAATATTTTAAAATGCAATGCTAAATTTATTTGCTAATTTTTTAAAATTTAGTATTACATGACTTTATGTGTACCAACATTATACTCTTTTCTTTGGGTTAGTTGTAAAGATCAGGATTATAACGCTCAGGTGTTATAACCTTTAAGTATGTTATTTTTTTTTAGGGGAGAACTTCGAATACTATTCCAGTGTGTTAAATAGTTTTTGGCTTAGATGATCTGTTTCTTTTGAAGTCAATTTTGGTAAATAATATTTTTCTAAAAAAGTTCTTAGATATAGATTTTCCAGTTTGTTATTATGAAGTTGTTCATGTTATTCTCTTATAAGCCAGACTCTCTATTGTGTCTTTAATCATTCCACTTCAGTCTTAATATTTATCATTTTACTTTTTTGTCTCTTAAATAGTCTTGCTAGAGATGTCTATTTTTTGTTAGTCTTTTCAAAGGACCATGTTTTATTTGTATTCATCTATAGTGTTTGTTTTGTGATTCAGTATTTTCTGCTCAGAATTTCCTTCTTTCTGCTGTCTAGATTTTATGTCATGTTCATTTTCCGACTTCTCACATAGAATGGTGAATGTATTTTCAGTGTAGATACTTGGGTATCGTTTTTTTTGGTAATCTTTTTTTGATACAGTTTCAAACGCAGAAGAGTTGCAAGAATAGTACAAAGAACTTTAGCATATTTTTATACTCAAATGTGCGAATTGTTTACATTATTCCCTATTTCCTTTATTTCCAGTCTCTGTGTGTTTGTGTATGAGAGAGAAGGTGTGTTGCTAATTTTTGGTGTTTCTAAGACAGATGTGATATTAAAATCTCCAACACTGGATGTGTTGTTGTCAATTTTCTCTTGTAATTCTAAAGGTTTGTTAGGTTGTGTATTATTAGGCATTTATAGTTTCTTCAATTAGTGGATCTCTGTGATTGCACCTCAAATCCTGTTTTGAATTATAATATTGTTTTACTAGCTTTCTTTTGGTGAATATGTAACTATTATCTCTTCATTCTTTTATATTCAACTTTCCTGTGTTGTTTTGTTTTAGGGGTGTCTCTTGTAAGCAGCATATAGCTGGAGTTTTTTTAATCCAGTTTGATAGTATCTCTTTTATAGGTGAGTTAAATCGATTTATATTTATTGTGACCACTGATATGTTTGAATATATTTCTTCCATTTTATATTTTATGCTCATTATCTTTATTTTTTTCTTTACTATCACCTTTTTTCTGGTTTGAATTCTCTATATCTCCTCTTATTTTACTGGTTTGGAAACCATTGATTAGTTTTCTATTTTTAATGATTATCCATAGTCACTTTTCCACTTTTAAAACATTTTATTAGCTGTTTTTAAAATTGTGAAAGTAGTGCATTTAACAAATGTAACTATTAGATATGTGTAAAAAAGAAAAAAGCCAAAGACATATTCCTTGTCCATCATCCATTTCTATCCCCTTCAAGTAGTAATTCTCAACGCAGGATGATCTTGGCAGTGTCTGAAGATGTTTTGGTTGTCACAAGTAAGGACACGATGCTATTGGTGTCTAATGGATAGAGAGCATGGCTTCTACTAAGCGTCCTATTGTGCACAGGAAAGTGCAGCAGAATTTTCTCTTCCAAAATGTTCCTACTAAAGTATGGTTCAGTAATAGAACACTTGACTAGCATGTGCAAGGCTCTGAGTTGAGTACCTAGCACTGCAAAAAACAAAGAACAAAAAAATGTTAGCACTGATAAAGTTGAGAAGACCTACCCCAAATTATCCAATAATATTACTTTAGTTCTTTTTGTTCCTTAAAACATGAGAGTAAAAACTTTCGAAGCACTTGACTTTGTTCTAGGTGCTGTTTTGACGTTTCGTCCTTCTAACAAGCTAATGACATATGTATTATTACAGATGAGAAAACTGAGGTACAAAAACAGATTAAGTTACTTGCCAGTAACATAAATTATAGAGATAACTACAAATTGAAGCAAGGCTTCAGAGACTATTTTCTTAGCAGGCTTAGCAGTATCTTATGGAACATTCCCCAGGTTTGTACATAGCTTATCCTCCTTAGCACTAATGTTTCTGTATGTGTGTGTAAATATAGATAACTAAGAGATATATGGGTACGAATTTATTTTATATATATATATATATACACACACACACATATACACACACATCCATAGGTCTAATATATATGTATACATACATACTGTGAGTCCCATGTGTTAGAAATTATTCATCCATCTCAATTTTATGATTATTATATCCAATTTTTTTTTTAAACTCAGTATTTTCATATTATCACTCTGGGTCAAGTATCAGAACAAATGCCAGACTCCAACAGATAATGTTAAAGAGTATGAAAAATAAGAGATAACACAATATGGTGTTAGGCAGAAAGTGCTTTTTACCTCCCTCCCTGAGCACAGGATGTAAGCTGAGAATAATATAAAATGAGAATTTGGCTGATTTTTTAAAGCCCTCTTTGCCTTTTTCATAAGGATTTTTAATCCTGTTTGCCTTTTCCACCTAGAAATTCTGTTTACTCCCTGCTCATGAGATGCCAGTAGCAAGCACATAACTTCTTCAATATATTCTGGAGTGATTTCTATGAAGTTAGATGAAGTAAAGTTTAATTTCTAATCAACATCTAACAAGACCAGATTTTAAGCTTGACTCTGAATAGTTCCTAAACAATTTACTTTGGCTTTGTATTATATGACGTGTATGAATTTGGAGTGAAATATTTTTATGATATTATCTTCCTAATAATCTTTATATGTCTTTTCATTTATTCAGGTCATGTTTTATTACATTCTTATTTTTTTCTTTTGTACCCGGGGTTAATCTCGGAGATTTATACCCCAAGTCCTTTTTTATTTTTAATTTTGAGACATGGTCTCCCTGAGTTGCCCAGGCTGGGCTCAAACCTGGAGTCTTTCCTCCCTAGCCTCTCAGAGTGCTGCATTTACAAACCTGCGGGGCCGGGGATTTAGCTCAGTGGTTCCGAAGGACCCGAGTTCGATCCCTGGTACAAAACAAAAAACAAAAAAAAAAACCTGCGGCATCACACTCAGCTTTCTTCCTTATTTTTATCACTAATTATTTTATGGTTTTTGTTTTCACTTTGAATAGAATATTTCCCCCTTCCTCTATATACAAAATACCTCTAATATACAGAAGAAAAAGTCTTGCTTTCTGTGTACGTCTTATTCAGCCATTTTATCAAATTTTAAAATTAATTTTAGGGTTCTTTTATTATTGCTATCTTCAATTTCCTAGGTATACAGTTACATGCCATTAACAAATAAGGATCTTCTTTTCTTGTTCAATTTTATGTGGTATTCTATCCTGACT